TTATATGTAATGGTATACTAGGAAGTACATATATTTAAAAATACTCAATTTTTTCAAAGATTGTTTAAGTTCATATGGTGTCATGTGGAACTCAAGCATAACCCACACTCAAATGCTTTCCCTCTAAAACTGCTGTTTCAAGCATCTGTACTTATCTACAGATTTTCTTGTAAATTAGAGAGAAGGTAAAGGCGTTTCCTCTTGGAATACAACTATATCCAGTAATTATTTCTTGCTTTCTAGGTATAATTTTAAATAGAAGATGTAAGCAAATAAGAACTATAAAACCCAATGACTGAAAACCTGAAATTTAGATGTTAAGGACTCTATTTAGTATTCATACAGAGCTACTTGGGAGTTTGCTAGCTGTACCCTGTGCGAGTACTCTTGACACTTCCATGCTTCATTATTCAAATGTGTATTATGTTTAGTCAAACATGGCTCTCACTCCAAGTTAGCAAAACTCTTGACACATAACTTTCAAATAAATTTAGATGGAACTGGTACACCTCTCCTTCTCACAGCACAGAGTTTGATACAAGACAGTAATGAATCACATTACACTGGTTCACATTTTCATGTGGTTAGAAGGAGAAACAAACCCTTATTCCAGTGATTTTGCAAATTCTGCATAGTCAATGAATCCGTCATTATTCTTGTCATCATCCCTCAAGACATCATCTATTAGACTAATCAGCTCTTCTTCCTTCATTGCTTGGGTATGCTCACCACCTTCCTACAAAAACAAAACCACAGTGAACAGTTTAGCAGTCTTTCTCATCTAGTGGCACATGTGATGGATTACTGACAACTAATTTTTTACTAAGCTGCTCATGTTTGGTGCCTAATTTGGCACTAAGTTTTATGTAATCATTTATAACAATGTAAGCAAATTTCATCAGATGGAAGCTTTGAAGTCAAAGTTCTTTGGACTTCAGAACAAACATTCTGCAGTTAACATTTTTGGTCAGAAGTTCCAAAAGCTGAACACCACAATGAATAATGATGGACAATCATCTAATAAATTGATTCTTAATTAGGATCTTGATGTAGTATAGACACTGTAGTTTCTATACACTACAGAAATACTTTACACTAATACAGAAATGAAAAAATTCAGCACTGTAGCTTAAAGTCAGTAAAATTCTTAGTAATACCCCTTATGGGAACACAAAGAGGAGCCTTTGCACAATAAACAGCCAGTCATTATTCCATTCTTGGCTCAGTATTTTTTGCCACAGGTTATTAGCAGGAAGTTAGGCTATTCTGAGTTGTAACTTCCAGAAGGTCAATATGAGATAATGTGCTTCTATTATGTTCTTAATGACTGGAAAGAGAATTTAAGTTTAGGAAGAGACAGAGCATAGCAAGTTCTTCTAATACAAATTTTGTGCAAGAGTTTTTTTTATCGTTTCTGTATACACAGCAGCTGAAAACACTGTTTTATCACATAATATTTCTACAAATTCTTGTGTCCCATTTTGGAGGATCTCCCTACCTGCCAAAGTAAGCCCTCTGTAAAATGATTTTCACTCTGGAGCCCTTCCTGGTTCTAGAGTTTAAACTAAAATGGAAACTTCCTAAATACTGCAATGTGACATGGAAAGCTGTGATAATGTACACTTATAAATTCAACCAGAACTATCAGAAGAAAAATAGTCACATTTTCAGGCAAAACTGTAGCTGCACTGAAGATTTGTTGCAGCTGTTCTGCTGCTTTTAGAGTCAGAACTGTTTCCAAACACATAAGCCCTTACAAAACTACACCAACCTCTTTGTGGACATGTGAGATAGCAGTAGCAAGTTCTAACCCATCTAGCAAATTATTGCCATCATAATCATGCATTTTGAAGTAATGGAGCTGCAACTCTTGTGGAGACATCTCAGCTTCAGGTTTCTCGATAACACCTTCCAGGTGTTCCATGATGTGTCTAAGAAAAAAAAAACCCACAATATTTCCATCAGTTTATATTTGATGCTCTGTTTACATCAAGTTTAGTGTTTGATCAAATATTGTACCTCTGAAAGCATCCTGGACAACTAAAAGCTACAGTTTGATATCAAGATAAAGAGGGCACAAAAGATTGTTTGTTAGAGGGGCTGTAGAGGCCTCTAATACCTTAGAAAACTATTTCTATTTGTTTCGGCCTACTTAGCAAGCTATCAAAACAACTGAAGCAGAGCCCAAAATCTCTTTTTGGCTCTCTTCCAAAGTGCAGGAACTGGAGGAAGATCTTTCCCAGTCAACCATGAAGTGTTCTAGGGAGTTTTATTTGCTGCTGGCACTGTTCTGCATTTATGAAGAAGCAAATGAGAAAATAAACTCTACCTGTTAGGAATATGATTTTGTCTAAAGTATGCTGATTTGTGTAAGAAGGATTTCTGCAATATTTTTTTTATAGCATAAATAGGGCTAAAGGCTCCAGAGAGACCTTTCTAGGTTTCACATCTCTACACATTTATCAGGAAAGCATGTCTCATATCTGGCTTTAGCTAATCATAAAACATTCTGAGGAAACAGGATGCCCTAGGCTTAAGTCCAACTCACATAACACTTCAGAGATAAGAAAATAATTAAGAAGTAAAGTTTACACTTTTAGAACATGGAACACATACTCTTTATCTTGTACCAAATTCTTATCAAGGCGAATATTTGGATGTTGACTCTCTCCTACGTGTTCCTCAGCTAGGGCAGAGACGAAGAATGCAGCCATAGCAAAGCAGAATAGCAAACGTGTTCTAAACATCCTTTGGGCCATTGTGATCTCCTACAAAAAGGAAAACATACACCCCAAAAATACAGATGAAAAACTGTGATCTACTTTCAGCGGATTTAGACAGTGCTAAACAACCCCATTAAGTTTCAGAATAGAAGAAGTTGTTGGCAAGCAGAGAACCAGAGAGCTCCAATTAGGAGCTTTTATGAGGGTCCCTATTTTACGGGATTATGCAGTAATTTTCATATAATTTTTCTTTTTTTTTTTTTTTTTTTTTTTTTTAGTTAGTGCTTACACCTTAGCCATTTTCATACACCTTCCAGACAAACAAGCAACCATGCCCTCTGCCTCAGGCAGACCTGCCCCACAGCTACGGGAGCGTACTGCATCGAAGCGGCTCCATCTAATGAGCTGAGACTGGATTCCCCGAGGGGCGCACAGCCGCGGAGACATCACGCAGCCGAGCATGTGCGCACTTCATGGGCAGGTGCCAGGGCACGGAGCTCCGGAGCGGCCGGGAGCAGCCGCCTTCCGCTCCTGACCCCCTCCCGGCCCCAGGTGGAGCTACCCCCGGTTCCACCGGCACGGCGCTGGTGGAACCCTCCAGGCTCCCACCCCGGGCTGGAACCCGAGGAAGCGCCCCCGCCGCGCAATGGAAACGGGGCTGGGCCCGCCGCCCCCCGCCCAGGCCGCAGCACCGCGCCCCAGCGCCGGATGTCGGGGCGGGCGGAGAGGCGCCGCCGCCACACTACGTACCCTGGGGCGGGTCTGCGCCGTGCCGCGGGCTCCGGGCCGGCCGCGGGCTGGCCACCATTCCCGGGACACCATCCCGGGATCGCGCAGCCCGGCGCTGCCCCGCCCGCTCCGCCGCCCATTGGCCGCTCCGCCCGCCCCGCCCCGCGGGTGACGCCGCCGCTCCCGGAGCTCCACGTGGAGCCCGCGGGCGGCGCAGGTGCGGCGGGGCCGCGGGGCGGGCCCAGGTGCGGCCCCGTGCGCCGGCCGGGAGCCAGCGGCGTGTCCTGGGCTGCATTAGGAACAGCACTGCCAGCAGGTCGAGGGAGGTGATCCTGCCCCTCTACTCAGCCCTGGAGTGCTGTGTCCACTTCTGGGCTTCTCGGTACAAGAAAGACATGGAGCTCCTGAGTGGGTCCAGTGGAGGGTAACAAAGATGAGTAAGGGGCTGGATATCTCTCTTACCAGGAAAGGCTGGAGGAATTCAGCCTGTTCAGCCTCGAGAAGAGACAGCTGAGAGGATAACTCATCAATACAAATATATATACATACACACATATATATAGTGTACACAAGTGGGGGTTCCAAGAGGATGAAGCCAGGCTCTACTCAGTGGTGCTGAGCAAAAGGACAAGAAGCAAGAGGCAGAAAGTTATGCACAGGAAATTCAACCTGAACGTGACCAAGAACATCTTTGCTGCGTGGGTGACTGAGTACAGGAGCAGATTGTCCAAACACATTGTGGAGTGTCCATCAGTGAAGATACTCAGAAACTGCCTGGGCACCATCCTGTGCAATCCGCTGTGTTTGAGCAGGGGAGGTTGGACCAGATGACCCACTTGCAACGTGGCCCATTCTGGGTGCTGTGGGCTCAACAACCCCGGCCTTTGATGCATAGAGTACCTTCCAGAGGATGCTTTGGAGGAATCCCACTGGTGATACCGTGGGTAGAACCCAGAAGGACTGCAATGGCAGAGCTGGTGGCACTGAGGGCCAGCATGTGGCAGTCCCCGGCTGCCCCTGCTCTGGATGCTTCCCTCTAGCCCCATCCACGAAGGACTGCCGTGGTTCCTGCCCTGCTGCCCCAGTGCCCACTGCTGACCGTGCTCTGTACTTCCACTGACACCACGGATTTTTCCGTACTCGCCACAACTCTGGGCACAGCCCCGCAGCAAACCTCGGTCCCGGGCAGCCGGGGGGGGCTTTTGGCCCGTTCCGCACGCACCGCCCGGTGTGTGCCGGAGTTGCTGCTGAGGGGGCGGTGGCCGTGGGGCGGTGGGGAACAGCCCAGTCTCGCCCAGGAGCGGAACGAGGGGCCACACCCGCGGTGCCGGGACAGCGGCCGCTGCCGCAGGACGCGCCCCCGTGCTCGGGCAGCAGCAGAGAGGCGTCAGGGAGTGGCGGCCATGGCGGAAGCGCCGTCCCCGAGCGCAGCCCTCGGGCAGGACGAGCCGGCCGCCCCCGCCGCCCAGCACCCGGCGGCTCCGCAGCCCCGGCGGCCGAGCTGGGGAGGCGCCGCCGGGGACTCCCCGCGGGCCGGGGCGGGGCGCGCCTGTGCCGGCGCTAAGATGGCGGCCAAGGGCTCGCACTCGCACGTGAAGCTGGAGGCGGAGATCGAGCGGTGCCGCGCGGAGGGGCACTGGGGGCGGCTCCGCCACCTCGCGCAGCAGCTGCTGCCGCCGCGGCCCCCGCGCAAGGCCAAGGCGGCGAGGGGCGCGCAGGACGCGGGTAAGCGGCGGCGGGGGGCGGGCGGGGCGGCCGCCGGTACCGACCCGCCCGGGCGTGCGGCGGGGCCGGCTGCTCGCTCCGCCGCCCGGTCTCGGCAGCCCCGCGCCGCTGGGCTGGCGTGGGCGGGAGCTGCGGCCGCCCCGCTGGCGGAGCGTCGTTTGCCGGCCCGTGGCCGCGTCCCGGCTCCGCAGCGGGAGCGAAGGAGGGATGCCCGGGGGAGGCGGCGGGAGCTCGGGGAGATCGCGCTGCGCTTCCTCTCGGTGTCAGCGCTGCCGCCCCGCCGCTGGCGGCGGCTGCCCGGCCCCATCCCGCCCTGCGTGCGGCCGGCCCGCTCGAAAGGTCTCACAGCTCCTCGTGCCCTGCTGGTTCCTTCTTGCCCCCTGCCCAGCGCTGTTCCTGGGTGGGTGCCCCTGTGGTACCTCTCTCCATCTCCGAGGGACACTGCTTTACTTAAAGGCTTTCACATGTAAAACAGGTTTCGTGAATAGCAAGTATATTAGTATTTTTTCCCTGTTACAACACACTGATTTGCTGCCGTTTTTCTTTTTTTTTCTTTTTTTTTGTTTAATCTTTTGTAACGAGTGAGGCAGCATAACTCACTCCGAGGTCAGCAAGTAAGTTGTGTTCTGATCCTACCCGCGGGAGTGGTAGAAAGGTTCTGCCACTGAAGCCAGAAGAGCTACTTCTGGGAATAGACCCCCTTCTTTAGAGGGCTGTGTCCAGAATGTGGCCCTAGCGTTGAAGCTTTCTGGGGTGCCTTAAACTTCACAATGGGACCCGTGATGGGGGGGAGATGTTGGTAGTTTAATACATGTTTATTTTTTGAGGTTTTCCTAGTGTTTACATGATGCAGATTGAACCCTGTGCTGAGAATCATACGGCCAACCTTTGAACTTTAGTCAGGTTTCAGCTGTGTTTTCCCAGGTGCAGAGATCACCATGAACTTTGGGGGCATTAGTTGAAGAGTTCACAGTAGTTTCTTCCCCTGTAATTAAGAGGTATAACAACAGTATGATTGCTGTAAAAACATGATTTGTTAATTTGCTGCTATGTCATCATAACTTGCTAGTAATGAAAGAGTAACGCTTTGTTACTTCTACAGAGCTTCTTTCAGCAGGTTTTGTGCTTCTAAAAATGATTGTGTTTGGATGGGATTTTTTTCAACAGTGCTATTTGCTTTGTGAGGTTGTATATATTTATTTATTAATTGTCTACGATCTTGCCTAATTCTTTAAGTTTGATTAAGAGATTAATGACTACCTGAAAGCACTTTAGTGTGTAGAAATGGTTGCATGCAAGTTTGGTGGGAATATACTTGAGCACTTAACACTTCCCATTTTATGTACCTGTACTTTGTTTAGTTGCAGACTTGCAAATGAGCAGGAAGAGCTATGCTCATAATTTGATATGTAGCTGAACACTTAGGCCACAACAACAAAAAAATCTAAACCACCACACAGTTACTATATACTGTATGTGGTGGTGTATAGGTAGAAAGTGGGCTTAAGGTGTCTCCTGGAGTGAAAATACAGAAATAGGTACACTACTGTGTTTCACTCATTCTCAAATTTCAGACTTTGAAAGATGGAGTATATATGAAATGTAGGGCTGGGCTCTTTGGTATTCAAAGGTTTCCTTACCTGGCTTAACCTGCTAGTCTGCTGATGGAGGTAATGTTATGAACGAAGGAACTGCAGAAATGGGTCTGTCATGTGAGAACTCTGAGTACTCTGGCAGATGAAACTTTTTTTTTCAGCACGATTGCCACACTGCATGATGGTTCATGCTGTATCCATTGCTGCTACCTGTGAAGAGAGTCACTTCTGTGGAACTGTAAACAGGCATGGATTTTAATGTAGAAAGAGTTTTACGTGGCATGTTAATTATGGGAGAGGATCAGTTCTTGTGTGTCTTTAGTAATGGATGTGCAGAATCTGCATAATTTATCTTTTTAATTTTTGTCCTGTATACTTTCAGGAAAATTGTTAAAGTTTTTGATGCTTCTCTGTAGTCTAAAGCATTCATATCATGCTAGTACCTTTGTAAATAAAAAGCATCCACTGAAATGTTTGCAAAGTTTGTCCTTATACTTTTGAAAGTGAGTTTTGTGATGAAAATTCTTAACTGTTTTATTGGTGACAATGTAAGAAGGAATGGTGCTGCCAAAATTAAAGGATTTAGGAGGGAAAATCTTCAAGGTACAACAAAGTGTTGTTTCATTTTTCCATACAAAAAATACTGTTTCCACTAGATAAAAGTGGATGAGTTCTTCCTCATCCCCTGATTTGAGTTTGTTGTCAGTTTCGGAGGTGTGTTGTTTTGCTTTTGTAATTCTGTTTACCATCAAAATGGCAGTAAACAATGTTTCTTGTTGGTTGGTGTGTGTGCTTTCAGAGGACCATGGGAGTTTGCTGCTTGCAGAGGCTCTGCTGGAAGAATGTTTAAAGGAAAATTTTGCCAAACTAAAGGACTCCATTCCGCTGTCGGAGAAGAGTGAGCCCAAACTGAGCGAAGCTAAACAGTATCTGACCAATATCTTAAGCAGAGGGAAACTAAGAGTAAGTGGGCTCTATCATCATAACTCCTGCCAACTGGATACTTCTTTAATATGACTATTAGTCTGTTACAAGGTGTGGGGGTGTGGGTGTTGCCTGTTTGTGTCCATGGATATACAGTGCTGTATTGTAGGTGATAGATACTAAGAGACTGATAATTCCTCTAGGCAGGATTTTATGTTGTGAGACTTGCCTTTCATGCGCAAAGAAAATATGTTTTACAAGAGTATATCCCTTTTTTTTTTTTAATTGGAATGAAGCAAGATGAATACTTAGAATTGCTCTCAGGTGGTGGGGTGTGGCCACATAAGGGTGCTGTCAGGTCAGAACAGCAGAGTGGCCTCCTGCTGCTCCAGATCTGATGGAATTTTGCACAAGTGGTAGCTCCTGATGGGAGAAAAATGTGCCACAAGCTGCTGTCAGGAGCTTAGGGTTGTGTTGGGAGGACTACAGCCTTGCACTGCCTCCAGTGTCTATTAGAAAAGTAATGCTTTTATTTTGTTTTGTGATCTGGGTGTGTGGCTGGTAGCTGCTAGTCGACTCAGTTGCAGAGCTTCAAGAGGGTTTTAATACTCTGCCTTGATGGCTGCTGCTGCATTGGTGTCCTTTGACACACAGTTGCATAACTGTGTTTAGATGTAAATGAATTACAACAGCCTGTTGTAGACTCCTATTGCTTTTGTCTTGAAATTGCCAGGCTAGTTTAGTTAGTTTGGAAATGTATATTGTGCTTTTACCATGTTAATTTCCAGTGAGCAAGGTCAGCCTATTTAGAGCATAAGATGAAGGGAGTAAGGAAGAGGAGGGTCTGTCCAGCCCTCTTTCTTTATAGTTAAGTCCCTTTCTTTATAGTTTAATAGTCAGAATTATTGAATTCTTCCAATTCCCTGTGTTTAGTTTGGCTGCATGAATTGGCATTACTGTTTTCTTAGCTAGTGGTGACTTAGCTACTGATATAGTATTGCCCCTCTGTTGATTCCATGTGTTAAAAAATGGGTATGAAGGCTTATGAATCTTTTCATGCTTTCCAGAGAGTCTGAACAGATGTGTTTTATTGAGGTTCTGTTACATATGTTTTCAATCCTTAAACGAAACAAATCTTAGGAATAGCAGGTGTGCCTTCTGTTTTTTTCACTGTTGTATGAAAATTCTCTGACAACTAAAGAAAATTTGAGACTTTTCTCACTCTTTAATTAACTATACAGAGGAGAGGGGAGCACTTGTCTAAAAAGTGATGTTTACTGTCTAGTTTATGTGCAGGGGTTTTTCTTTGTGTGTGTAGGTAATTCTGATAGTGCCAGCCTTTTATGCACTCTTTGTGGCTGGTGAATCAATAGGGCAGGTCAGCTGAGACCAAAGAGTTGGCTTACAAACTGTATTTCAAAACTGAGATCCAAAGTGGTTGCCTGACCTTCATTGGCTGCTGCTCTCATGAGCTTAGCCTTTGCAGTTGTGAGAGGAAAGCATTCTGAACCTGCCTAATTTGCTGTGGAATGCCTCATTCTTCCTGTCTGGTGTTTCACCCTATAAACATTTTTTCTCTTACTGCTTCATTTCAGCCGAAGTATATGACAGAAGCTATGCTGATCCTAGGAAAGCTTCATTATGTGGAGGGATGCTACAGAGATGCCATCAGCATGTATGCAAAAGCAGGAATTGATGACCTTTCAACCAAAGATGAGCCTCTGTACGTGCTGCGCTTGATAACTGAAGCCTTTGTTATTAAAGGTAAAGGACCATGTATGTATATTTGAAATATGCTGGTTTTAGGTGGAAGCTGTTTCTCCAAATGGTTTGGTTGGAGCAGGATTAGGGCAAAGATGTATGCTGTAGAAGATCCTACATGGTGTGGTCTATGTAGTTTCAAACTTAAAGGCATTATGGAGTCTTAGTCCATGGTTTTTAAACTTGGCTGGCTTGTAAAGAAAAGCTTGAAATTGGAAATCTTGTGATCGGTCTTGGCTGTAAATATGCTTGAGCTTGTGTGTCCCTTTTGGGAAAATCTAAATCAAGCCCTTAGCTGAACTGGGGCCTATCCTTTGGGTTAGAAAGAGTTCATTTACTTGTAAGTTTCAGTGATTTCTGTGAATTAAAAAACAACAATGTCTCCAAGTTTTAAACTTTGGACTAATAGAATATGTGCTTTCTAAGCAGGTAGTGTATTTTTGCAATGCATGTCACACAGTATCAGACCTTATGTACAAACAGGAATCTCTCCTCCCCCTTGTAACTATAGGCATTGCACTATTTGAGAGATTCTAATTAAAACTGCCTCTGTGGGTAGTGAAATTGCATTTCCTTTTTGAGTGGGGGAAAGGAAGACCCTTGTCAATTTTTGACTTGGGGGGAGAAAAAGATCAGTAATCTTTTCCTTCATTTGCTTTCAGTTCCTTTATAAATGTTGCTCAAGTACTGCTACCTATCTACTGCTTTCTACTCTTTTCAGCATGTCCACCAGCTAATTAGGTGAATGAGAACTCTGATGATCAGATACCTTCAACTGGTATGTAAAAGAGTGAAACCAAATCCACCCAAAATACTGTTTGACTGGGCTGCTAGTATTACTGATAATAATTTGAGTCATTCTGCTTTTTTTGAAACCCTGTTTGTGCTGCTTTGCTTGCTTTGATTTTTGTTTCCTGTGGTACTGATTGAATCTGCTTTGTTAATGAGCTTTTGTGGAGCAGAACTAATGTACTTGTACCTCACACTGACACTTGCATGGCACAGAGGAGTGGGCAGTTGCCAGTGCATTCTCAGCAGTGCATTTGAGAGCAACTCTTGGTGCACTCCAGAGTCTGAAGGATATGCGCTGTCCTTTCTGGGAACCAGATATAACCCTTGGTGAGATGTGAGTGTAATGATAATGTGTGTGTGGAAACTGATGGAATAATCCTGTTGTTATAAGACTCCTTGTATTGTGTTGATTACCTAACTTAGATATGAAGATGTTGGAGGCATTTGCATCAGGGTATCAGAAAAAGTTTTTGGTTTCTTTCCCCATGTGGTTTAACATGGAATGTAAATATTGTGTTACTGCTGTACACCATACGGAGTCTCTGCCATTGCCGAGAAACCTGAGTGCTGTTACAGTTCCTCAGTCTTTATCCTCCATGATGATTATTTTCATATTAGCTAAGATATCAAGAGTGTAGTAAACCACTCAGTATTCTACCAAAGATACTGGCAGAAAAAAGTCCTGCAGAGTGGAGCTTGTCCAGCTGAGTTTGGAGAGGGCACTCACTGCTAGGATCACTGTTCCTCATGCCATGTTTCCTCAGCCACTCTTATGTTAGCACTTTGTGCAGGTAGCTATGGCAATAGCAGTGTAGACTTTAATTTTCATTTTAAAATGTGTGTCCAGGCTGTTTCTGCAGGGCAAGTAACAATATGGAGTTGTTGAATTTAAAATTCATTGATACTTTATGCCGTAGATTTTTCTTATTCCCCTTTTTTATTTGGAAGCTCTCCAGAAATTGTTAATTCATACTACCTTACTGCCTTTGATTGAACTGATGGTTGTTTATGCAATATGAAGCCTTCTTTAAAGATGCTCTTTAACGTTGCTTGTACTAAAATTTTTGCAGGGACCCTTTAGGCAAATATCCAGAAAAGCCTCAGTCCTTGTCTTTTTCAAGGCAGAAGTTAGGTTCCCCACTCAATTTCTCATTCACCTTTTCAGAAATGGGAGAAAGCTTAATAGAATATCCCTGTTTATCCAGCATGAGTTAAAAGCAGCAGAACTTTGTATCACCTCATAGTGTGAAATTGGAACTGCCTCAGTTTTGTGTAGGTAATACTGCTGAGTTATGCCTGCAGAACAACAGCATAGATTCTCAAGCACTCAAGATTAGGCTGGAAAGGTCATGGAACAAAGAACAGATAAAAGGCATATTTTTTTTATATTGACACCTATCCTGTTAATGTTGGAAATTAAAAAAAGCATAACAAGAAACAGGTGGGATACAGTGGGAGGAGCTGTGCTGATAAAACCAGTTATGGAAATCCAGCAAAAACAAGTTTCCTTCCTTAGAGCACCTTTTAACCTCTGCAAAACCGAAGGTGGATGTTGAATTAAATCTCTGGAGGTCCACAGCATGTAGTAGGTTCATATCATGGTAAGAGGCAGTATGGATTTGTACCCTTATGTTTGGATTGAAGAAGTTGAGCAGAGAAGAAATTTTTTTTGTGCCTTCTCACTAAACTTCCACACAAGATGAGCATCAAGAAGTAAACTTTGAAGTTCTTTATCAGTATGAGGGCTTGTGCAATTGGCAAGTCTCAGGAGAAATGGCAGAGAGCAAGATTCTCCAGTGTCTCATCTGACTGCTGCTTCCTGTTCTGTTTCTAAATCCCTGCATTGTGAGGAGACAAGTTTTGTGGGTGCTGTGAGTGGAGCTCTGACAATTGTTTGTTTGATTTTTTATTATGACTAATTTTAACCTCTATGGTTAGTTAATAGGTGGTTGGTTTGTACTTGTCTCCTTCCTCCCCATTCTCCATGAAGTCAATCCCTCCTTAAAATTTTAGTTCTGCTCAGTTCATATTATTGCTGGTAATCTCTGATGCAAGCCGCTCTGTGTTGCATAAAACAGTATTGAGTAAGTAAACTTTGCTTCTAATTCAGTTGGGACACACTGTGGCTTTGTTACCTGGTGGTGTCTATTTGAAACAGCAAGCAAAAAAGTCTTCTGAACAAAATGTGTAGATGTTAGAGCCCACTCTGCTTGTGCTTGCTGCAGAAACTCTGCAGATATTGCTCTTTGAAAGAGTAACTCTTCCTGGTAGTAGTTTAGGCTACTACCTAACCCTTACAAAGCACTGGGTAGCTCTAGCCAGGGCTTTCAGCATACCTGAGCTCCAAGAAAGGCTTCTCTGATGTGGCAATGTTTGCTGTGCTGCTGAGAGCAGGCTGTTATCAGCCTGGGGGATGGAGAGTCAGGCAGGGCTCCTGTGTTGTGTGGGTCCTGACTTTGTAATGACTGAGAAGGGCTTTAGCTTGTGGTCAGGGATGTGTCAGAGCTGCTGCAAGGTGAGTCAGCCCTGTGCTGATGGCTGTGTCTGTCAGGCCAGGCACTGGACTTCCTCTACCTGGTGTGGGATAGCCTAGAGATAGCTATTATCTATTGCTGCCTATATTTGTGCAGCAATGCCATAGGATTGCACATAGTATCTGGTTTCTAAATGGATTTCTAGGGAGTTAAAGCTTTAAAAGTCCCACTGCCTGTTTTTCTCCTTTTCTCCCAGTCCATCCTATAATTTTTGTAATCTAGTCATTTTTGTGTTATTATTGGCCATTTGGCAACTCAGGGTGGGTTTAATTTGTGCAGCTTCAGGCTGACCTCTCTGTAGAGTCAGAAGTTGGCTGTTCTGGGGTGATTCCTCAGCTCTTCAAATGGCATCTGACACAGTTTGTGAGTCGTGGTGTACAATACAGCCTCTTCTCTGGTGACTGTGAGAGAAGACTGCAGACTAAGTTTAAGTTTATCTTTTTAATTTTCTTTCTAGGTGGTTTTGTTCTTTAGATTTTGAGGTTTTTTTAACTTTAGAAAAGACATCTATTTTGTCAAAAGGCTGCAATGGGAGCTTGGTCTTCTAAGATCTTTGGAAAGATGTGGAAAGAGAGCAAGGTGATAATGTGCCTGTAAGAAGCCTTGGTAATTGTCTGTGTTTTATTGTAACAAATCCAACCAAATCCAAATCATATCTACAAGGAAATGAGACTGTTAGTGCAGTGGTTCAGAGCTATCTGTATTTTGTTCTTGGACCCATTTTAGTAATTTAAAAATGCTTAAGATCTGTGGTGTGACACTTGAGAAAAACCAAAGATAAAATCTTGAGACAAACATTGCTGGATTGAGCCACTGAATTTTGGAGCTCTCCTAAGATCTGTGAGTCATATTTCTGAAAGCAAAACCTTGACACTGCCACATATGGGTTTGTCCTGAGTTCAATAATGATAAACAGACTGCATAGCAGGTTCCAGATAGACTGGAACCTGCTTCCAGTGTCCTGGGTTCAGCACATCTTGTTTTGAGTTATTTTGTGTTGGTTCAGTCCTAGAACAAATTGCTGAGCCTACTTGTGTTCCTGTTTCTCTTGTGGTTGTATCTTTTTAAAATTCAATGGTAGTGAGATCTGTATACTTTGAATTATATTGTTCTGCTTTCTGCTCATGTGAAATTATTGTCTTGGGTTTCTAATACTGGAAGTGGTTGTTTGGAGATTCTGGTGGTGTTCTAAAAGGAGAATATTGATATCACACAGAGATAAACATAAAACCTGATGTTTTACTAAGCAGGTTTGAAAACTGGTTTGCTTGGTTTTAATCATGGTTTTAAATTGACCAAGTGAAGCCTCAAAATTTGAATAAACTGTTTTAAACTTCTTAGTGATTCTTCTCTTAATTAATTTCTTATTTTGTTGGCTTGTACTACTGTTAAAAGCAGTAGGTTTGCATACAGTAAATGCAGTCTTGGTATTAAAGTTCATTCTAGCTAATCAGAGGATTTATCACACACTTGTTTATATGCTTAATTGGAGTCTTTAATTTTGACATTTGCTTGTGTGTCATCCATTTTTGTAATACAGTTTTCTACGTGATTAATAATTTCCTAGATGAGATTTGTATTCAGTTGCTTTTGTTTGAAAATTAGAGTAAAATGTAGAGCTTTATTGCAAAGCTGTGTTCTGGTAAATCTACTTTTCCCTCCTCGCTAAAGAATTTG